AATCAGATTATATTAATATGCTGAGGAGCGTTTCACGCACGTTGTGTAACTTGATCGGTGAGTGCCCCTTCGCCATAGTTAATAGGCCCGATCAAAATCGACAACAGACAACGGGTCCGGGATTCAATGGTCGAAAGTTGGACTACTTTGCGGTCACGTCGATTCGACCGCCGGTTTCGACTATGTTCACTGTGTGCTTCCTAGCACGCTGGAAGCAGACGCGGCGACTTACGCGTGGATTAGTTTTAAGCGAGGGTACAGTTACGTTGCATCTATCGTGTTCTCGTCGGCTCCTCCCCCTGGGTTTGTTGTCATTACCAAGTCAAGAAGGCGGGAGAGGGCTCAGGTGGCTGGTGTGGCCACATCTAGCTCAGAGTTGGAGTGCCATGAATGCGGTCAATAAGCATAAAGGAATCCGGGTTCGAATTTCGGATCTGGCAAAGCTGGAGTCGGGTGTGTCTGCCTGACGATGGTTTCTCTTGTCCTTATCACTAACCAATTATCTGCAGGGTGATGAAAAGTGGTAATCTTTGTAGAAACTGGGGACGAGAATGACCATTTCTGGCTTATGATTCGTCGTCAGTCAGCCTGGGATTTGAACACGGGTTGGTTTGATTACAGTCATCAGTCTTCCCATTTTCCATTGCTTTATTGGTATTGCTTCCCAGCACATACATTTATGTGTTGAATAATCGAAAATATGCTAGGCCCATGTAATTAAACAGAAGATGGGAAAGCGTTCTCTGGGACCAGTTGTTTATTTGCTCGACGTTTCGAACTCTCCCGCGAGCCCATTGTGAAGGAATAAAAAAGTGTACGGCTCACTGCATATTTAGTTAGGCTCTGCCGGGAGTGACCTTGAGCTCTGCCCTCGATTTGTTCGCGCAACGCCAGATAGGCATCCGAAAGATCGATATGCCTACTTATAAAATCCGTGTGTGAGTGCCATGAGCCCTGCAGCAGGCGTGAGAGTCAGTCGGCCGACTGACCCAGTATTTGCACGCGTTCAAAGTCGAAGCCGAGCCATGGCGTGGATGCATGAGCGGCTAGCAAGAAAAGTTTGTCTTTCCGTCGCATTACTAGTCACTGTGCGACTACCTATGGGACTTCATGCCGAGCTTCTAAGCACAAGGGGACATATAGATCCCGTACAGAATTTGGCAGGCGTCTTCTTCTACATTCATATTTCCGATCGCAATCGACAAGAGACTACAACACTCCACTAATGAGCTACGGGTCCGATGTTTTGTCGTCTGCGATCGGGAATATGGTGATAGTATGGAGCTCACATATCTTGTTAGGGGACACTAGTGTCAGGCAGATTCCTCATAGGCAGTCGCATACCGAGTTGGAAAAGGCGAAAACCGACAAAAAACACATACCAGAAGTCGTTATGCAACTGCTTACGAGGTGGGCTTCAAGGTACAACGGGACACACCTGTTTTGCAACCAGATTGGGGGGCCCATACTATCATATATATGTATAGATTTCCCTGCTCAACGAATGCGCTTGTTTGAGCATTATAACTGCTAACAATTTTAAAAAGTCCACTTACCTATGACCGCACACGGAACACTTGAAAGGACGATAATAGCCTTCACTCGTGGAAGCACACTCCTCCGGGTTGTCCGACTGGTCGGTCTCGTTACCTGTTCCACTTCTGCAACTCGCGAAGCGGCAATTTCGGTTACGCAGGCCTTTTATCTTGTCCAGATAGGCGGGCAGC